TTTAAATACTTAACAAATACTTACTTTTAACTAAAATAAAATCTTTATTTCAATATTTTACTTTATGTAAATCTAAACATTTTTTTTTTGAAACAACTAACTGAGCCCATTTGTTAGAGAGAACACATGTACACAAACATATGTATGCCATAAAGACACAATAAAACCACTTTCTTTAATTAATAATAATAAAACTCTTGATTTTGATGAAGATGTTCTTTTATTTAGTTTAGATATATTTTTTAGTGCATCAATTATTTATGGGACCATTTTTTTTTTTTTTTTTTTTAATTTTTATTTTTCGTCATTTGACACATTTTACAATGTTAACCTTACATTCAAATAAATTTATACAAATGCAAGCTGACTGGGGCAAGTAGAAGACAAAATGTCTTATCATCAAGCCCCTTTGTGAAATTAAAAAAAAATAAAAAAAATTTTACAATTTCCAATAATATATAAAAGAGTGAAATTAAAAAAAGTTTAAAAAAAAACAAATTAAAAAGTTTGAAAAAATCAAAAAGTTGAAAAAATAATTTTTAAGTTTGACAAAACTAAAAAGTTTGAAAATAATAAAAAAGAAAAAATTTTGAAAAAATAATTTACAAATCCGTACATATGCGTATACATATCCAATAAACTTCATAATATATATTTAAATATACAAAAGATATTTTGAATTAAAAAAGATTCTGAACATTTTATAGATTTAAGTTCATCTACTCATATTTTTTTTCTAAACAAAATTAAAACAGACAAACAAAAAGAAACAAGAAGAATATATATAAGAAGGATATATGTATATATATACACATACACACATACATATACACATACACATATACACATACACACATACACACATATACATACACATACACACATATACATATACATACATACACATACACACATATACATACATACATACATACACACACACATACATACATGTATATATATATATATATATATACATATACACATACACACATATACATATACATACACACATATACATATATACATATACACATATACATACACACACATACATATATACATACACACATACATATGCATATACACATATACACATATACATACATACACATACACACATACACATATACATACATGTATATATATATATAATATATATATATATATATATATATATACATATACACACATACACATACACTCACACACGTATATATATATATATATATATACATACACACGCAAAATACATATATATATATATTTTTTTTTTTATTAAAAAAATGAAAGAATGTACGTATTGTTTAAATTTAGTAAGTGTTTTTTTATAGCTCTTTTAAATATATCAATAGATTTTATTTTTTTCATATTTTCGTCAAGAACCGAGTTCCACAAGCGTGGTCCCCGACATGTAATTGAGAAGTCAGACTTTTTGAGTAATGTTAGTGGGATGCAGTAATTATTAATTGAGTGTCTTGTTTTATATTTATGATTAATAAGAGAGAAGTTTTTATAAAAATATTTTGGAATTAATTCGTTTTGAAGTTTAAACATAAATAACAAGTTATGGTAGATGTTTAATTTGAATACATTTAGGGCATTTATTTCCTTGAGTAACGGCTCGGCACTTTCGTATCTACCCATGCCCGAAACTAATCGACTTGCTTGCTTTTGTTTTGTGTAAATAGTTTTTAGGAAAGATGAGTGATTGTTTGCCCAGGCAATATTACAATAGTTAATATGACTATGTATAAACGAAAAATATAAATTTTTTAAACATATTTTGTTTAAAAGAGGTTTAGTCTTATACATTATCCCTAAAGTCTTTGAGACTTTGTTCTCGACTAGCTTTATTTGGCTTTTCCAATTTAAATGTTCGTCAAAAATTATTCCAAGTATTTTCATTGAAAACACTCTTTTTATTTTAATATTGTTAATAGTTAGTTCTGGTAGTGTAAGTGGAAGATTCTCGGATTTAGATGGTTTAGCAAACAAAATATATTTTGTTTTTTCAATATTCAACGAAAGTTTATTTGCTATAAACCACTCATTGAGATATGTTAGTTCAGTGTTTACATTACAAAAAATATTTTTTAAATTTGAATCAGAATAGAAAACATTAGTATCGTCAGCAAAAATAATATAAATAAGTATTTTTGATGACAAATAAATATCATTAATATAAATTAAAAACAGTAAAGGTCCAAGTATTGATCCTTGTGGAACTCCACAACTTATTGACTCAAATGGGGAGCATGTTAAATCAAATGGTACTTCTTGTTTACGATTTTCTAAATAACATTGCAGCCACTTTAAGTTAGAGTGAGCTACTCCGTAATTACATAGTTTGTTGATAAGAATCTTGTGGTTGACAGTATCAAAGGCTTTGGATAGATCCAGAAATATTCCGAGAGTGTAACTATTGTTTTCAAAACCATTTAGAATTTGGTTCGCAAGATCAATTACTGCATGCTCCGTGGAATGGTTTTTGCGAAAACCAAACTGTTTATGATAAAGAATGTTATTAGTTTCAAAATAATTGTACAGTCTGTTGTGCATAATACGCTCTAGTATTTTAGAAAAACAGGAAAGTATGGAAATTGGTCTATAGTTAGATTTTATCGAATCATCGCCGCTTTTGTATATTGGAATTATTTTTGCTAGTTTTAGTTGGTCAGGAAAAATGCCGTTTCTTAGGGAAAGATTAAAAATTATAAAAAGAGGTTTCTCAATAATATCAGAGACCGCTTTTACAACATCAGGGTTAATTTCATCTAGACCCGCACTCTTATTTGTTTTCAACATACTAATTGCTAGCCGAAGTTCATCAACCAAAAGCTCCGATTCATCCATTATGGAATCTGATTTTTTCAAAAAAGATTCAAACGATTTACTCCCCTCAGGAATTGCACTGGCTAGTTTTTTCCCTATATTTATAAAAAAGTCATTAAATGTTTCTGCAATTTCTATATATATCTGCAATATATTCTGCAATTGACCTTAACACTAAACCTCAGCAAAGCGTCATGTCTCCCAACCCATTGTGTTTCGCAAAGTGAAAGAAGTTGTGAATTTGGCTTCTTTTTTTTAATAATGTATATTTTTGCATGCCTTTTTAAAAGTTTATGATTAAATAATGCATACTATTTTTTAAAACATATGGAAAGTATCTAATCAAGAAAAGTTATTGATATATAACACTATATATATATATATATATATATATATATATATATATATATATATATATATATATATATATATATATATATATATATATATATATATATATATATACAGGGCCGGCGATAGGGGGTGTCTTAGTCGGCGCAAACAAGGCCACAACAGTCAGTCGGCAAAAGTTGATATGCAGTCGGCAAATTTTAAAAATCGAGGACCTTCTTTTTTTTAAGTCGGCAAAAGTTGTAATAGCACTTCCTCCCCCACGTGACACCTACTCGCGCCGGCCCTGTATATATATATATATATATATATATATATATATATATATATATATATATATATATATATATATATATATATATATATATATATATATATAAAATAAGTAAAAGACTATGAAATTAATTTAAATTAGTTAAATATTTTGTTTATGATTAAATGAATACTTTAAATTTATATAAAAGTATATATTTGTTCGCTATGATGTCTGGAAAGTTTATATTTAAATAAAATGATCAATGAAAGTATTTATGATTGGTATTTCACATTAAAAGATACATCTTATGATGCAAAATGTTGTAGATGTTGAGTGGATTTCAATGTTAAACTGTTTTGCTGCAAGAAAGCTTTAGCCAAAAAGATATAAGACACCATCAGTAAAATAGAAGAAAAATGAAAAATTATTATGAAAAAGTTATTAGGTAGAGCCTTTTTTCCGCATGAGGCAAATTTTCCACATGATACAGTGAATGCATCTGAAATTCCCAAAGAAACAATACTAATAAGCAAAAACAAAGTTCTTAAAAAAAAAAAAAAATTTTAAAAAGGAAAATTGAATCTATGACCGATTTAAAAATGAATTATTTTACACATCAAATAAATTTTGAAGATATGCAATATTTAAGATATGCAATATAGATGAGCCATTAAAGGCAAAAGTGTTATTTTCTCAACTAACTTTTTATCGCATAATCTTAGGTGACAAATGTGACAAAAAATTGAAGGAAGCAAAAGAATAAACTTGTCTTTTTCTTCCTTTTACCTTTGTTTTTTAATTCGGAGGAATTTTATCAAAATCTTCTTATTGTAATTCAAGCAAATTTAATACCAAATAAACAATCTTTAATTAATATAAGTAATAATTTAAAGCCTCGTATAATACGTGATGCAGCTGTTAAAGCAAAAATAAATAAATAAAAATGAATTAATGGAAAAAATTTAGGTTGCAAGACTAAAGAAATTAATAAAGCAACAAAAAAAAGCATTCCTTATTAAAATTTATTAACAATCCATCTGATTTTGTAGATTTTTCTATACAACATCGTGTTAGAGAAGAAAATTCTCTTGAAGTATCTTGGGAACGTGCATGAGTGGTACAAATTAATCAACTAAACGCTAAACGAACCACATACCTTGTTATGTATGATAACGAACCTGATGAAGTATGGTCATTTCCTTTATTAATTGATTTTGAAAAAGGTGATCTTATTCTTTTTAGCTAGGATTGTGAGGTAATTTTATTTAATAAAAATTTAGAATTATGTTGTAGTATGTATTTATCTTATTTTTTTTTATTATTATGTTTCAATAATTTGTTTTTACTGCATTTGAGTACAGTGGTTTTAATTTGGTATTGTATGAATCATATCTGATACGTATCAGATATGATTCATACCATACCATATCACCCAGATGCCAAGTCTTCGAAGGCGCAAAATTTTCATTGAATACTAATTTTTTTCTTTAATACACAAAATATATAAGTTTACAAGAAAAAATAATATACTTATTATATGTAAGATTAAATATATTGATTTATAATTATGATTATTATTTATTTCAGTGATCAAATACAAATACAATAATCCATTTATAATTTGATGAAGAGGTGCTACACCAGGCCCCTCTATGCTGACGAACATGAAGGTACAGACGCTACAGACAAAGCAGCAGTTGTATCTATAAAGTTAATAAAAACTACAATAACTCAAGTCAACTTTTTTTAAATTTTCATAAATTTATTAAGAGTATAACTAACTAAAAACAAACTATGCACAGGGCCGCCGAGAGGGACAGGTAAAGGAGGAATACATGCCTCAGGTGCCAAGATATTAGGGACGCCAGAAAACAAAAGAAAAAAAAATCATAATGAGATTTTAATAAAAAATTGTAAAAAATTGTTCTTCTTTACGAGGTATAATATAAATTTACTTGATGATGTGAGTAATAATTATCTTGCTTTGTTTGTATTTCCAAAAAGTTTTAGTTAATAACCATCAGGCCAGAGAAAAGCGCTGTTGAAGAACTTAGAAGGATGTTTAAAATCAAGTTAAAAAATGTAGGTCCGTTTAAGCTTTTTCATCAAACTCAGTTTATAATTAAAAAAATGACATGTTTAGAACCTCAACTAATCAAAGATTGCCAGTACGTCACCACTTTTTTAAAAACCATGTTGCAAAAAGTTGGAATAAAATAGCGCAGGGTGCAATTAATGTACCAACAGTTAACTATTTTGAAAGAATTTTTATGATGTTACTTCGGCTGCAGCAATATCAATTGTCAGCATATAAACGACTGGTGTTGCTTTCCTTCATCAATACTGAACTTTTTATGTTAAAATTTTATTATTTACTTTATTAAATAAATAAAAATGTAAGATCTTTTTGTTTACGGCTGCAGTTCCGCTTGACAGAAGATCTTGCATTATAAGCTTTCGGGAACCAGACGTTCAGCTCAGACTGCCGCTACAAAATTAATTGCAAAACAACCACGAAAAATAACTATTGCTATAAAGCAGTTGCTTTAGCTTTAACCAAAATATAGACTTATGATAAGCAGAAGACTCGTTTTAGTAATGAAACAGTATTATTTGCGAAGCAAATGGTGATAGCAAAATCGCTATGAACCTGGAAATGCAGTTTTTTTCAATGAGTTCCACAAACATAAGCTTGAAGTGAATATCTTTAATGCTGTACTTTGTCATTCAATAAATTCAATTTAAAATTGAGATTGTAAAAACTGTTTTATTAAGATTCTCATTCATTTGGTAAATGATGAAAAAGATGCAAAAATTAAAGCTTGAATCCAAGCTTTAATTTTCATGAAATAGAAGACTACTTTATGGAAGATATTTTCATTGTTTGAAGTAGTCTTCAATTTTCACTTCTGGAAACAATTTAGGGTTTCTAAACTAAATATACTCAAAGTGTCTTTAGCCTATTCTCCGATGCATATACATTCTAATTCGAGTTATTTAACTGCTTCAGTAGATAAACAACCTTTATGTAAACTAAAAATGATTTTGAAAAATGATTATAGAGCCACTATAAAACAAGTCTATCGAGCATACATGTTGATACTGTACATCTCTATCGTAAAATGTAATAATAACAATTTTAATAATAAATTTTAAATAATAACGAATTTGTAAAAAAGCAAAATAAAGCGTGTTTTCAAATTAATTTCAAAGAAATTATTTAATTATTTAAATAATTAAGTTAATTAATTAATCCTAATTACTATATGTAATGCAAAAGTGTTATTTAATCCAGATACAATCCAGATTTTTTTAAAATATGAATGTTATTTAAAAGTATCAAAAATAAAAACACAGTCATTAACTTTTACACGCTTTTTTAATTTTAAAAAATGCACGCTTATATTATATGCGCCATATTGCTGCTATGCCCAAGCGTCATAAAAGCTTTTATGCTTTTATGACGCTTATCACGCATGGACGGTTTTTCTCTAACCAATCATTGACATTGTTTAGAAGTATTGTCTTTGAAATAAATATTTTCAAGATAAAATACTTATAACCTTTTTTCAAAAAATTTGTATTAAATACTTTTGTAATAAATTTGTACATTACAAAATTTAAAACTTATTAAGGCGCTACCCGGTGGGAAATGAGCTAGCGACTAACGAGCGATTAGCTAGCTTTATAGCGATTTTGTAGCGATTTTTTTTTTCTTATTGTTTTTTTTCCTAATGTCTTTAACATCTTTAAAAATTCGACTTTTAGTGTTGAGTCTATTATAATTATGAGAATAATTAAACTCTAAACTTTGCGATTTTGTAGCAATGTGTCGCTAGCTACATATCGTAGCTTTGTAGTTAGCTACAAAATATCTACAAATCTATAGCAGGTTGATAGCTGCATATTAAAATTTTTTTGACAGCGATTATATTACGATTTGACGCTAGCTACAAAAGCCTGTGGGTCTTTAGCTTGTTAAGCTAGCTGTCTTCGTAGCCAAATTGCTGTCTTTGTCTTTACAAATATCGATAGCTTTTCGCTAACTTAAAAAAGCTGCCGATCCTTGTACTTATCCTCCAAATCGCTGTCTTTATCGTTACGATTACAGCTAACTATTCGATAGCCGATTTCCCACCGGGTAAATATTGTGTTCACCAACCTTCTAAATGTCTAGCACCGGGCCTGTTTATATGTACCAATTTTGTTTAATTTAACGATATTTAATATTATGTATCAATATTTTTATCTCTATGCTTAACGGCACATTATTATAAATATTAAAATTAAAAAAAAAATTTATATGCAAAATTATTATTACTTTTACATGAAATGCTTATCAAGTAAAGGAGAGAATCCAGAAATGAAGGGCTAATCTTAGGCAAAACGACAGCTCACTGATGGAGTGCAAAGTCGTATGGCTTACATTTTCGTTGGTGTACTTCGTTAAGTAAGTTAGACAATTTGTCTAAATTAAGAACGGATTAGCCAAGGAAACTTTTGTACATAATTGTTTGATGACAATATATATATGTGCGTGTGTATGTGTGAAATCAAATTTTTTAAAACTGTAATAAAAACTTAGTGAAACATTCGAAGCTTCCCGATATCCTCTAACAGTAGGTTACTCCATTTTTAAAGGTAGCCTACTCTGATCATATCGGTAAATTTACTAAAAAACTTTTTTTTCAGTAAATTTACCGATAAGATGTCCGCGAAGTTTTGAATGAATTTTGAAAGTTTAAATTTCTGAGTTCAAATAATTTGCATCATATATACAAGGGGCGATTTAAATGATCGCGAAATGAAAATTACGTTAATAGTAAAATATTTTTTTCTAAAACAAAACGATTTAAGAAATCTTTTAAAACCTTTAAGGTTTTTGCATCTTGAAATAGAAAATAATGAAATAGATAAATAATAGAAAAAAAGTATTCTGTTGACTAAATCTGTTAAGTTAGGTACTCAATCAAATAAAACAAAATACTGTCAAATTAAACTAAACTAACAAAACAATTCAACGAGTTTTTCATTCATTGTTTTCAAAATAATTCAAAACCCTAAAATTATGAATTAGAATTATAAAATAAAACCCTAAATTCTTTAAAAAAAAAAAAATTATCAAAAGTGGGGAAAATCATAAATTAGTCTAAACAACAGACTCTTAGCGGTTAAATTTCTTTTTGAATTTATAATAATGCTGAAATTATCAACAAACCGTTGACTAACTTTTTTTTTATTTGTGTAAAGATAAATTTTAGATTTGTCTTTATTTTGTATCAGTGCGTAACTTTAAATCTGGACTCCCCCTTCCCCCCCCCCCCCCACAAGTCTTTCTAAAGAGGCCTCCATATCCCCCATACAATCCATGACAGTCTTGTAGACAATAATTTTCGAAATTCCCGTCTTAAAAAAGTGACGTGTGTCACACATTGCAATCTTTTTCAGAGCCTTATTTTTTTTTTTATTGTTCAAATTTATATTACTAGCGAATATTTGGTGCTTTGGCCGACCACCAAGCCGATATTCGGAAAAATCCACTGATCTCTATAATAACTATAATAATTATAGAGATGAGTGGGAAAAATCGCATCGCTAGATAATAATGGTAGAAATTTGCAGAACCTAGGCTGTGAAAAAAATGTATATTACGTAAGGGGTCGGCCATAAATTACGTCACGCTTTAGGGAAAGGGGGAAGGAGTGTTTTTGTAACGACTCTTTTTTACTAAAACGTTACGGAACGCACTCTTGTCAAACCCCTATTCCGACGTTTGCGTCCGCGAACTCCGCGTATTTTTAGGAAATAGGGAAAATGGTATGTATAGGGATTTGCGCAGCGGTGTCTAAATTTTACTGACCGATGCGATCTCCAAGGGAAATATAATTATACTTTAAAATAAAAGAACTCTGAGATTTTTAATAACATTTGTATTTAATATTTATTATTAATCATGTTATTATTAGTTATATTTTCGTTTAATATCAATTTGATAACATTTATATCACATTGTAAATGCCGTAATTGGGTCTAGAATTTTTAAAAACTGTTTAAACAGCACTTTCACGGATTGGATTTAACGTTTCCCGTGTTACGATGTTGTGACGAGGGGTTCGAAAATGGTCGTAAATTAGGTGACGTAATTTATAGATAACCCCTAAAACGCAGCAAATCGACGTTAAACGCTTTAAATTGCAATTAAAAACAATTTGAACTCCAAGTAATTGATTTGACCTAAGAGTTGGCAAAACAATTTACTTTGACAAAATGTCTCAAAGAATTTTTTGATAAATAGAAGCAACTGGTTCTGGAAATTTTGCTCACGCCATGTTTAATGAAGATTTTTTTTTTACCAAAAAACTGCAATTAGATTTTTGGAAACAAATAAATTCCTAAAACTACAACCTCTTATTTTTTTTATAGGAGGAGAACGAACTTGAAAACTTGACATAATTATTATTTTTGGACTCTAACAGAGAAATGAATAAAATTAAAAAATTTTTAAAAAGTTTTTAGGTAAAGTTTTTACGTAATTTAAAATTAAAGCGCATCAACCACGGCGTTACAATCGTTATTTAAGCGGCAAGAGTTGCTTGGTTAAAAATGAGTTCTAAACATATTTCATATGTCATCAGTATAGAAGGAGTTATGAACTACCTAGTTAAATACATTTTGACAAGACCATTATATCTTCTTGGGGTATCAAAAAGAAAAAACAACAACAACAACAACAAAGATAAAGAAAAAAAAATTGCGTATATAAAATAAACATACTCTCTAATTAGAGTAAGATTTCATCTAACCTCATGTTGGCCACAAAAGGAAGAAAGGTATTTTTGGTAGGTATGAATCAGAGGTTCCCAAACTTTTTTGTGTCGTAGACCGCCTCACCTGATATTGATTTTTTGTAAATTTCTAACTGTATTGAAGTTTAATTTTTCGCTGATGTAGATCCCTTGCAGGTTGTCATAGACTCCTGGGGTATAGACCACTCGATATAGACCACTTTTGGAATCGCTGGTATAAATCGAAGTAAAGTTTTAAGCTAGGAATTTTTGTAAAACTATTTACGGAAAAATAATAATTCGCCGAACATAAGAAAAACCGTTTATTTATGTTACATTAATTTTTTTCTTATCAACAACGATTTAATTTTAATTTTTGTCACTTTTTTGTTTGTTTATCTCCAATATTCATATTTGACTTTGATAAAAATGTAAATTTTTCATTGTTGTCTATAAAAATAAAATAACATTTAGATTTAATGAGTTCAAAAGAAGAAAGTGTTGGCAAATTACCAGTGTTTGTGTTCCCTGAAACCTTAAACTTTTTTTCCGACAATCAATCATCACACAAACAAGTTCTAACCCTTTATAACCCATATGAATTTGCATTACAGTTTAAAGGTGATTTATTTTAAAATATTTTAACTTTTTAGTTTATTTTCTGTGAAATAAGTTTATAAATTTTAAGTTCACTTTTGCATCGCCTATTACTTTACTAATTTTGATAAAAGGTTCTTGAAATTTAATATTTAATACTGTCACTCATAAAGTTATTAAAAAAATTAAAAACAATATTCTTTTTTTCTTTCACCAAAAAATTTTTTGTTTTTGATCTCTGTCTTTTTGTTTTTAAAGATATATATTTGAACCATAATATCAACAATTGATTTTTATTTTAATAACGAAATTATAAATTTAATTTTAAAGTTTTTAAAGGCGTCATATTAAAAGCCTAACCAAAATTCTTTCTCTTGAAGTTCTCTTATACTCTTAAAAAAATCAGTTGATATAACTACATTCAATCATGTTTATCCCTGAAAATCCAGGTAGTATTTGTGCAATAAAAGTTCAGTAAAAACCAGTTATAATTTTTTTAAGTAAAATCGTTTTGTTTAAAAGAAGGAAGCAAGTATTAACATTTTTGCTGTTAATTAAAAAAAAAAAATTTAACATCATATCATAGTGTTTCATTCAGTAGAAAAAATATTTTAAAACTTTTTATTTTTTTATTTTAAACAAAAATTAACTAAAATCTTTATTGAATTTAGAAAATTTATAGGTAGTGCAAAGGTATATTTGTGGCACAAAATTATTGATGCTTAGTAGTAAATAAATTTTTTTTTTGTATAATTCTTAAAAAGTATGGAAAGTTATTCTATTGTATTTCTTTTGATGTAGGCATTGTACTTTTTAATAAAAATTCATCAAATTTGCATATCCTGTTTTAATATGTACTTTCTTCGATATGGAAACAAACATTACTTTTATAATTTTTTACTGATTTGCGAGATGCAATACACTCAGTCTATTTCACGTATAAGGAATTGAGTTCTAACAAAATGATTTTTTTTTTCGAATCTACAAAAACAACATTATTTTGAATATAGCAACAAACAAATGCACCTTCTATTTCATTGTGGTATTACAAACTTCACAGCAAAAGTATTTTTTTTTGGTTTAATGGAATGAATGTAACTTTATAAATTGCTGCCTATTATTAAACCATCTTGCAATTGCATTTTTTGTTTTTGTTTTTATTTTTCAACATGAACTCATGTTGAATAAAATCATAATTGGCAATCATTTTACATTAGATTAGATTAGATTGTATTTATTAGAACAAACACATGTTCTAAAGGACACACAGGTCCATATTGATAAATGTGCCCCAAAATGAATAAAATATGTAACGGTATACAAAATTGCATAAATAATTTATATACAACTAAACAATAAGGTATGCAGTCAATGCCAACATAACTTTTCAAAATTGATTGAGTTAATTTTACTCTTAAAGATGTTGATATTATTGACATTAAAAACATTGAAAGGCAACTGATTCCAAATGTTAACAACTTGGTAAGAGAAACTAAATATGTGAATATCTAGTCAACATTGTTGTTTGCACATTTTATATTTATGTTCTCAAGTGTTGTCAATAAAAAAAAACAGATTTATCAGTTAAGACCACGTTATGCATAATTTTGAGTCAAGTTGATGAATCATATTTTACTCACCTTATTTCAAGTGACTCCAAATCAAGCAACTGAAGTCGGTTATTGTAGGTTAAATTGCGGGATTTTTTTTGTGAAACATTTTTGCACGTTCTCGACTACCTTTATTAGTTAAACATGATATGGTGACCAAACTGGGAAGCAAAATATTCTAATATAGGCCTAATATATGTATTGAAGGCTTTTACTAAGATACTTGGATCGCGAGACTTATAGCATTTTAAAATAAGGTATGCTCTGGTATTAGCTGCATGTACAACATTTAAAGTATGCTTTTTATAGTTCAGTTGAGAATCCAGAGTCACACTTAGATCTTTCGGAATAGAAGACCAAGCTAAAATTTGATCTCTTAACTTATAGATAAAGTCAATGAATTTTCTTGATGAAACCATTTTTCTTACCAAAGTACTACGTTATCAAGAGTATTAACTAAGTGATGGCTATGGTCCGTATTGTAAAATTGTATAACTTGATGTCATCACCATAAATCTTAAAAGAGCAATCAAGATTGTTAACAAAAGTGGTTATATCATTGATATATAGTAAAAATAATGTTGGGCCTATACGTAACCCTGAGGAACTTCGCCAACAATATGAGTTGGATTTGATAATGAAATTCCAACTTTAACTTATTGACTTCAGTTGTTAAGAAATGTAGCAATCCAATTTTTTAAATTACCTCTTATGTTAAATAGAGCAAGTTTGGCTATTAATTTAAGATGAGATACAGAATCAAATGCCTTTTGAAATTCGATATATACAACATCTGTTGTTAGATTTTTGTCTAGTGTGTTAACAGATTTTAAGAGATTAGTACATATAGAATGTTTCTTGAGGAAACTATGTTGATTATTGGTTATTAAGTTATGGAGAGTTAAGTATTTAACAATATCTGAGTTAGTAATTCTTTCTATTGCATGACAACAAGTCCATGTGAGTAAAATTCATCTATAATTATTATTAATGTTCTATAAATTTAGGTAAAAAACATAATGATTTTTTTAAATTGAAATGAATGAAAATACAATTATTTACCTATACCATGAATATGTTTACTTAAAACTTTATTCCAGAATCTACATAACTTGTTGTTATTCATTTAGTTCACACAATGGAAAAAGAAGAAAAGGTATTTTTTTAACCAAAAAACTTTTTTAAATTTTATTATGATTAAAATAAAGTAAGAAGATTTTTTTTCTTCAATAAATCATATGAATAAGCTTGACATTTAAAGTTTTAATTATCATTTATGTTTTTAGGAGGATGTAAGAAAACTAATATTCAACTTGCTGAATAAGTAAACAACATTCCTAATAATGTTATTCCTGGTGAAAAGATATGCCCTTCATGTAAGGTTATATCATTTAAGGAAGATGGACTTTTAACAAACAGTAATTTTAAGATCTGAAAAGACTTTAAATGTAGATCTTGCACAGTTTATCCAAGAAAATTCCATTAATAAATTTTCCTAAGAAGTTAAATGTAAAGCACTTAACATGGATAGAAAATAAAAAAATCATGTATGAAATATCTAGAAGAAGAGTTTAATTTTACTAGCTACATGGTGCAGATGTTATGGAAATTGCTGCAGAAAAACGGTATTTTATCTTTTTCTGAAAAAAAGGTAATATCTCAAGAGTTAGTAGATAAATTTGTTGATACCTGCAAAATGCCTGGGAAAAAAGATTTTTTGAGCATAACTTGAAGATCTCACATACAAAAGCTAGTTAGTCTAACTGAAATCATTAGTAGCTTTATTAATACTCTGAAAATTTATTTCTAGTGTAGCTTGCGGTCAAATGCGCATTTTTTTTACAGCTGTTTCAATATAATTCAATAGAATTTAATAAGCTTACAAAAGTTTTATACTATAGTGAAAAATAAATGAAAGCCTAAATTTTGATAAATGTTTTTTTGACTTTTTTTTTTATTAAGTTTTGTGATTTTGTCTCTACATTGATAACAAGTAAAAAATAATAAGCAAAAGGTATGGAGGGGGGGGGGGTTCTTAATAAGCATGGGTGCACCCCTCCCCCTTCCACAGGTGTATTAAGCACTTAAGATACATAGCAAAATATGTTGCAAATAAGCAATATACTGAAATGCAATCTGATGTGTATCATCTTTAATGATTTACAGTATGATGTAGATATGGAATATTGATGAAGTTATTAATTAAATATTTGTCAGTAAATAGAAACTGTTCACTACTTTTCAGATGAATGTGCTGGCCAATATAAAAGTTTAAAGTACTTTATAAATATTTGCCACCATTAATAAGATCTTACTATGAAATGTACACAATCATTCTTTGCAAAAAATTGCTGTAAATTGTGATGGTATTCGTGGAGCTGTAAAAAGACTAACTTCAATTACTAGCTTTTCATAGAACAACAACCAATCACATACTTATGACACTTGCAGATTTCTTCCAAAATGAAATCCTAGACATTAGTTTTTACTACATATCTCTAAGAAGTCAAAGATGATAATACAAAGCAAAATAGAACAAAGATACAAAACTTGAAAAACTTTTCACTTGCAGCTATCAAAAATTCACTCCTATAGGTAACACAAAAATAAAATTGTTTTCGAGCAATTGCAGTATTCCTTTAGAGTGTTTGATGGTAACAACCCATTACTCAGACTACTTGAGAAGGTTAATGTTGAAAAATAAAGATTTTGATGTAATATTGATGCATCCTTATTACCCTTTAAGGTCATATTGTTGGCCTTCAAAAGATGATGTGTGTTGGGTTCCATCAACAAAATTATTGTTAATGGTTAACATTCCAATATCTGTCACAGAGAAACAATACAAAATCTGTGAGTTTAAGCACCAAAGCATTGTAGGCAGCTGGGCAAACTTTAAATCAGATAATCAAAACTATTAAACAGAGTTAACATAAAGGGTGGATGCAGCATTTTTTGATGTTTGAACTTCCAGACATAAAGCTAACTTCCAGACATAAATCAAACTCCCAGAATTTATATGTTTATATTTATGTCAAATGAAAATGCTTAGTAAAAATTGCAATTATTGAAGCCTGGGAACAAAAAAGCCCTAAAATTTAACTATACCTGCCCCAAATGTGATAGCAACAAGTTATATATACATAGCAACAAAAATTTTTTTTTTTGTATTTTAAATTTCATGAAATAAACTCTTAGCGTCCAAAAATTATGAACTTATAAAACTTGTAATCCCCTTAAATTGAGGGGGTTCAAACTTATGGTAATTAATTTATATAATATGTCTGGGGTCTGGGATGTAGCTAAAAATTTGGAGCTTATTTGTTGCCAAGCTCCTATCATTGCATTTTTTTGCAAAGCATTTTTAATTAACATAAGCATAAACATATAAATGATTTGAGTTTGCTTCATGTCTGGAAACATATAAATGATTAGAGTTTGCTTCATGTCTGGAAACATATAAATGATTGGAGTTTGCTTCATGTCTGGAAACATATAAATGATCGGAGTTTGCTTCATGTCTGACTCTGCTTCAAGTCAGCTTATTAAAACATCAAAAAAAGCTGCATCTGCCCCTCTATTTTTTTCACAAAAAATGTGTTAAAACAATTGGGCAAATTTATAAATGCTCATCATTTATTTATCTAGTCAAATTTATTGTATCACATTTGATAAATACAATATACCTTTTCTAGACTTATTTTTGTAACTATAGGATTGGGACTTTTTTAATTTAAGTTAAACCTAAGAAAACCTTAAATAAATAATTAACTGATTAGTTTTGTTTAGAAAAAGTTTTTAAATCATAAAGTTCTCCTCAAAATACTAACAATGAAATACACACACAAAAAGGCCTAAATAATAAAAACTTTATGAAAAATACTTTAAAAATCATTATGTAAGTGATTTATATTTCAGGGACCAAGTTAAAATTTTCCGTTTTTAACCTATCACCTGTAAAGTTGTTATAAAGTTTAATTTTACATTTTGATCAAAGTTTTAATGTCTTCCAACTAGTTGCTTTTAAGTCTTATTTTGAATTTCCTTCCAGCAAAGTTTTAATGTCTTCCAACCAGTTCTTGTACAGAAACAGTCTTAAATACCTCTTGGATATTGTTCATATTTTTAAAAGGCCAAGATAATCTTATAGTTTTTCCCTGGGTTTTGAATGCATTTTTAAATAGAAAAAAAAATCTTTTAATTGGGAGCTAAAATTTTTTTTTTATTATAAAGAGTATATAAAATAACATTAACTTGGATTGTTTTTTGCTTGTTTAAAATTATGAATAAAAAGATTGATGAAATTCTCTCTTTAGTATTGTGCAATAACCCAACAAAGTATAATGTTGTTGAATCTGAAGGTATTATAAAACAGAAATGCTGTGTTGATATGTAAGTTATATTTCATTATTTATTTGCTACATTACATCAAAAAAGATTTCAAAGTTGGAAAAAAAAAATTTTTTTTTTTTTTTGCTAAAGTATCAGAGAATCTTAGGTTAATTACTCTATGTAACACTTGCTCAATTTTTGTCCTTGGATTCAATTTTAATTGCTTGTGTCTAAAGACTGTGAATAAATAACTAAATTAAGCACAAACTTTATTTTTCATGTTTAGTTTTCATTCATTCCATCTGATAAAAAATAACAATTGTATATTAAATAGACAAAGATTTTTTTAGATTTGAGAGTGTACTGTAAATCAGTTTTACAATGTAGCTTTCAAATAACCTTTATATTTTGGTTATAATGTTCTTGATAAAAACATTTAAAGCCCTATATATTTTGATGAAATTGCTTGTCATGCTCCTCTAAGTTTAAGATATGTACTTTAAGTGGCATTTGGCATACTATTTAGGCATAATTGTTTGTGAGAATCTGAGTCAATTCCACATAGTTTTAAGCTATAAACAGCTACAACAAAACAACTCCAAACTGTTCAGGAGTTTAATGAATTTGTCTATGATCTTTCTGATTTATCTTAACCTTAGATGGCTTCGGGAAAGATCGTGGAGGTACTTAAAAGGTGCCAAATTTTTGTCAAGAGCAGTGAAAAATTTCTTGATGAGGTCTAACTTGATGTGCAGTGGTGGCATAAGCACATTCTAAGGTCCTATCAACAGCTCCAACTTCATACTGCTCACAGATAACTTGGTTGCTTGTGACCATTCCTTTTTATGATAGTGTCACAGCTGTCCTAGAGACAAAGGAAACAGGAAAATTTTGTGAAATTGCTTTGAAGGCCTTTGAGAAACAGCAAAATTTTGAAGTCTCGCATGACCTTCCATCTGTCCATGCTTCTTCAAAGCAATTTCACAAAATTTTGTAAAATGGCTTTGAAGGTCTATGAGAAACAGCACAATTTTGAAGTCTCACATGACCTTCCATCTGAAATTGTCATACTTCAAGACAGTCAGCAATATTTTGATACTGATGTAGTCCTTTGCAGAGTTAGCCATCAGATGGGTTTCTTTTATAAAGCAACATGACTTTGAGGTTTCAGGAACTGTCTAAAAATATGTGGCAATTTTTAAAAATTATATGTAATACAAGTAGAATTATATTAGCATTTTTTTAGAACTATATGCAATACAAATACAATTAGAAAGACTGGCCTCATTAATGCAGAAGCACAACTTATCTTTCTGATAAAAGAAGTTGGAAAGTGTTTGTGTTGGAAAGAAGCACAAGTTATCTTTCTGACAAAAGAAGTTAGAAAATGACTGCTTTAATTCAAGTAGGTTCTTTAAAGTTCCGGAAGTTTCTTGAAAGCTATGTAGGTTTCTTGAAAGTTCTAGAATATTCTGAAAATTTGTAGCACTTTCTGAACAATTCTAGGAGTTCAGGTATATTCTGGAACTATACTCAGTATTCAATATAAATCAAGAATTTTCTAAAAAACACACAAGTTTCAATTTGTTCTGGTCACATTAGTTTTTGTAACACAACAAGTATTTGTTTTTGGCAAAATTTGGAAATTACACATTCAACCTGAGGACAAAACAAGAATACAAATTTGTTACATAGTGTTATTAGCAAAATATCAGAATAAAGTTGCCATAGAATTTTCAGGGTTGATTACTATCTAATTACCAGAGGAAAAGACCTTAGAGTTTTCTGTGTAGATTAACAGCTTGTTACCTTATTTACAGCTGTTTAAAAAGAATTTATCTTTTAAAAATGTGAGAAAATTTACTTTCTTATGTTTATTTATTTGAAAAAAAAAAAATCATTTTAGAGTAGTTCGTGTAACAGATATACAAAATATAACTAAAAGAGAAGATAAATTCAGAATCCATTTGTATCAATATGGAGTTGAAAAATTGCTGGGCAAGAAAGACATTGTGGCTCAATGTACCGAGAGTAAAGAGTTTGTTGTAAGATAATTTGTAAACATTTATGTTAAATAGTTTATCTTATAAAGATTTTTGGGTTTTTAAATATTGTTTAGCAAATAATTGATTTACCTTTGATTAATTTTTTTATTAAGCATTTTAAATAAATTTATTATCCCTTAGATGCAATCAGTAAAGAGGTCTGGCTCTAGTATGTACGATAGCAGTGAACCAATAGAAAGAAATAGTAGAAGAGGTATTTTCAGTTCCTATTTGTAGTTTGCTTGTATTATATTTTTAGTAATAATAATTATTTTCTTATACAAATTAAACTTTAAGTTAACTACTCTATCCCATTCCATCCTCATTTGTTAAACTTTAAGTCATAATCAGCAGGGAGATAAAAAAGATTACTTTTTATAATCACACAATAATATAATTTTGATAAGGATGACTGAGTTGTTTTTTAAAATCTTGAATCTATTTTAGAATCTGTTATTGTTCAACGTTCACTTCCAAGCTTACCTGTCATAATAATAAGTTTAGCATCTATCATTGTCTTAATGCTACCTACACATGGTGAAAAGGTCAACAACAGTTTTATTCCTGATTATCTATTTATGTCTTTCAATCAAAAGCTTATTGCTGCTTATATTTTAGGTAAGTAATAGTTTCTTTAAAAAATTGTATGTTTTTAGGGTCAAATGATTTTATTCCTTTTATATTAAATCAAGCAACTGTGACGTAATGGTTAGAGCAGTTGCTTCACAATCAAAATGGTCTGAGGTTTGATGTTTTCTTAGGCCATATTTGCAACATGAGTGATGCATCTCTAAGTAAAATAATTCTAACTTTAATAACAAGAATAAAGTTATTAAAAAGTATACATACTACTTAAATATTAATTATAAAAAATATCTATTATGTAAATATTTATTTAAATGCTAATATAAAATAATTAATTTTTTTTCAAATTTAATGAGCTTATTATTATGGAAGATTTAAAGTTCTTAGAACTGCATACAATTCAGAGTTCTGCAGCTCAGTTTTTTTAATTAATTTATTTTATTTTATTCAAATTCAATTAAAAAAATTATTATAGGTAATTTAGTATTCTGTTTTTTACAAAAGATTCATAATTGAGTTGTTTGTAAAATATTTAGAATTTTTTAATAGAAAAATTAAAACATTTAGTTAAATTAATTATGCTAATTATGTTATTTGGAATTTTGTTATTTTTGTGCAATATTTAATTTTATAGAGTAAAAGCAGGTATAATGGTTGTTCGGATAATTGGGTAAAAGACGATATTATTGTCGTTTAAAGAAAAAATTATTTTGAATTTTTTTTTTTACACTATTGTTTAGAAATTTTCGCTTTATCTTACGATATAAAACTATTTGGTTATTAATTTAAAAATTTTAACGTAAGTCAAAAAAAGATTTACAATGAGTAAATTATTTTAATTTCATTTGCAATATGTTAAAATAAAAATTTTCAATTTCATTCGCAATATGTTAAAATAAAATCTTGATATTTTAGTGCTTTTTTCAGAATTTTTTACTAAAAAACTTTTTTAGTAAAAATTCTGCTTAAGATGGTTTCTTGATTGAAGATGGTTCTTTTTTTAAGAATTGAGTTTGTTTGTTCCAGTAAAAAAGCAGGGCTTTCCTGTTTAAGGAAACACAATATTCATTTGTTTTATATACTCCTATAATTTTTTCACACTTATTTTTGAATTAAAATTTAATTATGCATCTACTCATTATTTAAAAATGAGTAATAAAAACTGAGATAAACTGAGATTAATGATTTAAAAAAATTATCATCTCAGTCAATAAAGAAAGTTTCACAAAAAAAAATAACAACAAGAAGTTACTGACTAGCAACTTAATGCTGCAATTTTAATAATAAAATTTGGCAACTTATGGCATATCAAATGCAACTTTGTTGTTCAGGATAAGAAACCCTGTGAGCTCTATTGGTACCAACACAGTCACTATTTTAAGTACTTTTACTTAATTAACGTTAGTTAAAATGTTTGTTAAACTTGCTGACAAGGGTTTCAGTCGAACCTACAAACAAATACTTGTTCTTGTTACAAGCTATTTACAACAAGCGAAACAAACTAGTTTATTACAAATGGTAATCCAGGCAAAGCTTGGTACTATGCATTCATCAGACTTTTAAAACATCAATAAGATGAGAGAACTGCAGGTGAAATTGCAACATTAAGAGCAGCTTCTTGTACTGAAAATAATATTAATAAATATTTTAATACTAGACACTAGATAATCGGTATCGTATAAGTCCATACCGAGAAGAATGGTCTCGTATGGCGTGGTATTGCTTATATACTAATGTTGATCTATCAGATTGGTTCGATACCACTCGATACCGAGAGGGATATTTACGTCTCATGTGGTATTGCTTATGTCGATACTATCAGTATCGCTTCAATACCAAACAATATCGATAATAAAAAGAATTGTATAGTATCGCTATTTTGTATGGTCTCAAATCGAGACACTCAATAAAACAAAAACAAAAAAAAACTTAAAATGTGACTTATTGAATATTTTATTGATAAAATACAAGTACAATTGCTTTTTAGAGATTTAATTATTGTTTTTTAACAATATACAATACTTTGGCTATCATCCATTCGTAGTTTTTTCGTTTGCTGTACTTTCGCTGTTATTTTAGGATTTTCTTCTATTAATATTTTAATAATTCTAGGGGCATTAACTGTAAATTTTACATCTAAACAATCAAATAAGTTAAATAATTTCAGAAATATTATTACCAAAAAAAGACTCTTTGATAAGCTTTCTTGTGAATTTAATTTTTTTTTTATATATAATTAGTTAGTAGGTATCTATATGTGAAACAAAAAAAATTCAGAGTGGGCAGACATAAAATTAACAAACTGTCCTTTAAGCGCTTTTAATTCCAATTAATTTCGCACAGAAAATTTTTGCCAGAATGGAATAAAAATTCAATAGAGTTGGAATAACGATATGAGAAACTGCACACAGCAGAGGCGGATCCAGGTTGTTGTTCTAGCAGGGTAGTTCAACCAAAAAATAATATAAAAAATAGGATTTACATTTTTTTTTAAAATAAACAACTGTTTCATTTGATCATTTAGAATGCATTTAGAAAAGTTATAAGATAGTTTGCTCATAAATATATTGAATGATTGTATAAATAATTTTTTTTTGATAAAAATAATAAAATGTTGAGTTACAGTTTTTTGTATTTTTCTTATTTTTTTAATTTTATCAATAATATTTTGAAGTTTGACATTTCTTAGGTAGGGGGGAGGGTAGTACCTCGAATACCACTCTTTTTTCTTTTTGTCCACCCCTTACACACTGTTTAACATAATTTAATTATTTGTAATAATTTAATATAGAAATAAATGTTAAACAAAATCTTTACTTTTTTTTTTAATCACGATGTAAAAAATAGAAAATATTTTCCTCATCCTTTACACTGTACAAAACAATACCAATATAAGCGATAACTTTTGATACTAGTACCGCATGATCTTGATATCAATACTGTAAGGTATCGCATCAAGACCAAACGATACCAACATAACCGATACTTTCGATACCAGTATCGCATGATCTCGATGTCGATACTATAAAGTATCATATTGAGACCAAACAATACCAACATTACCCATACTTTCGATTCCAGTATTGCATAATCTTGATGTCAATACTATAAAGTATCGCATCGAGAACAAAGGATACCAAAATTAACAATACTTTTTGCATATCCGTGTGAAAATTAGCACAATAACATGTCTAAGACATTCTACTAGCAATTAAAAATTTGTACTACAACTGCAAAACACTTTAAAGCTTAATTTTCTGATAATGATTGTGTAAATTAGTATTAATGAAATTTCTGCTAACTCAAGTAATTTTACTTGAACATAGAAAAAAGCAACTTTAATCTGTGCATAAAATCATAATTGAACCCAAAGGTGTGTCAACTGTTTAAAGTTTTTATCATAGTATTGGTTTGAAATGTGTTTTAAAGCCATTTCAGATAACGATTAAAGATTTTGTGAGTAACTACGTTTTTGGTAGAAAAAAAGGGATAACTTTGCACAAAATGCAAAGTTATCCTTTTTATCATCTAAAAGCTATTAGTTTATATAAGCAGAGTTAATATGTTTATTTTTAATGTTTTAATTAACTTTTTGGGTAAATCAAACTAAAATAACAGTAATGTTTGTTTTTTTTCAAAAATTTTTGACAAGTATAAATCTTTGCAAACAGTAGGTATGATCAACAAAAAAAGACTTCCAGCAGGTAAAAGTATTAGCTTAAAACTTGTTGTTAATTATGGCCTCAAAGAAGCTTGCAAAGGAAAGGAACAAAATAAACATGAATTCTGTGAAGTCAAAATTTTAATCAGATAAAGGTCAGGAAGATTGCCATGACCACAATTCTAGCTCAGTAATATTAAAAACAAACTCCATAAAAAAAAGTAAAAAAATGAGAAATTAATCTTAGAAAATCTGTACAAAAAGAGAAAAATGAGTTTACTTATGAAAATGGACTTTTTTATGGACAAATTTAAATTGTCAAGGTAATTGGTGCTTGTTTCAAGCTAATAGTAAAATTATTAAAAGCATGGAAGTGGTCACACAAGCAGATATTTTTTATGAATATTTCACATCAACGAAATCAAAAAAAAAATTCTAAAACTAGGAACTTTACAAAAAACCTTAATTAGGTTTGCATTGGGGCTCTTGAAATTTGTTTTATTTTGCTTAAAAAAGAAAGATCTTTAGTTTTTTTTAAATAAAAAGAAGAAGAATATTTTTTAAAATAAAATTGCTAAATTAAAAAGAAGAATAATATTTTATCTTAGCATCTTAAATGTTTTATTAACTGAAATAATACTAAAATTGTTCTTTTGTTTTTTAACCTCTCCTTCAAAAAAAGAGTTTTCAATCTATGCAGTTCATAGATTTTTTTAATTTTTGTAATGAATTTTTTTATAAAAAAATAAGTATTTTTTTAAGGAAGTTTACAATGTGTGCAAAGTTAACCGGATTCAGCCGTAAGTTTCCTTTAAAAAATGCTTAATTTTTGATAAAAAATAACAAAAACTGTTTAAAATAGTTTTTAAATGTCTGGAATTTTGACGAAATTGACTTCAATGGTGACAAAGGTAATCAAACATTTTTCTGCAAGTGTGGTTCTTAGTGTGCTACCATAAAAATTTCTGGTACCCGTTTGAACGTTATGGCGCCAAATATTAGTCAAATATTACACCAACTCACTATGCAGCAGTTTATCTAAAAACTCACTATGCAGCAGTTTATCTAAAAACTCACTATGCAGCAGTTTAGCTAAAAATTCACTATGCAGCAGTTTATCTAAAAACTCACTATGCACCAGTTTATCTAAAAACTCACTATGCAGCAGTTTATCTAAAAACTCACTATGCAGCAGTTTATCTAAAAACTCACTATGCAGCAGTTTATCTAAAAACTCACTATGCCGCAGTTTATCTAAAAACTCACTATGCAGCAGTTTATCTAAAAACTCACTATGCAGCAGTTTATCTAAAAATGCTTTTGCTCAACTTCAATAAAAACTCTTAAATTAGAGAAAGAAAAAAAATGCAAG